GCGTCGGCCAACTCATCACTATCTACAGCTTTTACCCGTTGTTCTAACAATGTTAAGACGGCTTATCGACTTCTTGAGAATAATTCTAAGAATAAAGTAAACCTACAGACATCGGTCTTGTTTAACAAAATCTGCCTAAAACAAAATCTGTCACCAAAGTACACCAATATATATATATATACACACATACAATTTATTTATTTATTACACACTTGAATTAAATCTATTTTAAATCAGCTATTTCATTTGTGCCACACTTTCATTTTCTCGTGTTATAATTTGTATACTCCAATTGTTTACTTCTTGTGTACATATTTCTGTTGTAATTACAAATATTGTTTGTTTGTTTTCTACCTCTAGATTACTGATGATGGAACTATGATGATTCTGAAACGTTTAATAAATGTTTTCTATTATCACGTTTGTGTTGTTCTTTATCATTAAGTTACGTTTTCAGAAAAATGAGTTGATTACAAGAATACATTTTGATTAACGTAAATCCGCACAAGTTAATGGTTGCCATCTTAAGAAACATGATGTGATAAGCATATAACCAGTAATAAACAATATCATATATATATATATGATATATGCACATACAATGGAAAACTTGTAGGGACCAATTTAGACCTTTATTGACATCCACTTTTTCTAGAATGATACGTGAAATTGACATTTATAGTTTCATTCTTTGTTGTAAAAGATAGTTATCTGTTTCTACATAACAGCAGTGGTGAAGAGCCGATATAATTACTATTGATATACGTGACAAATGATTGAAGCCGATAGATGTCTCAATTAAACATCTCGTATACAGAGATAGTTATAGAAAGTGGAGAGAACTATTTATTTGTATCAAGCAAAAGAAGATATTTCCTTTAACAATAAGATATAACTACAATTCTTAATTGTCGTTCTATTTCAGGGCATTTATTGGACCAACTCTAGGCGGTTATCTTCTGGAACACTTTGGTTACAGATCGGCAACAGTAATAATCTTTATTGAAGAATGTGCAATGGTGAGTAGTGAAATCCTTGAAATTTCTTCTACAATTGTTGACTATAATAGACATGCCTGATAACCAAGTAGTAATTCAGAGTCTCCATTATGAACCCAAAAGGATCTCTAGATGTAATATGATATATGTAACAAGAATAAAAAAAGAGGACATATGCATTAACACACTTTTTAAGTAGTCTAAAGTCACCTTTCATATTCACAGAATATGACATATATATAATATGACATATGTAAAAAGAATACATAATATGCATTAATACACTTCTTAAGTAGTCTAAATTCACATTTTATATTCACAGAATATGACATATATATATAATATAACATATGTAAGAAGAAGACATAATATGCATTAATACACTTCTTAAGTAGTCTAAATTCACATTTTATATTCACGGAATTATATCGTTTTACCTCATTATGCTCACACAGGTTTCTTGATTTTGATCACTTGCATTTTAACAGGTGAACAACTTTGGTGGAGATTGGTGTGTGAAGAGTTCGCGGACAGACAAAACATACAATTTCGCTTTTATACATATAGATTTCGGAGTTTTCTCTTTGGACTGTGTTCCTGATTTTAGCTTTAATTGCTTGCTATGATGAAGTGCGCTTTAACTTGATAACCAAGCAAACGTAATGGATAATTTCAGCCAATTATTATGATTTTTATGCACCTGTAATATCAAGCATGAGGTGTCTGTACAATATGAGGTTTTTGTTGTATTAAAAGCTAGTTCGGACAATAAAAACTGTAGGTGGATATTATAGTAGATGATGTGAAAAATGTGGCGTTTATTTTTACTTTTTTACTAGAAAATTCTATTTTGTTCAGATATTATTCTAAAACATCTAAAGATTCAAATACAGTCGCTGTCTACGTGAAATTCTCTTACAGTCAGAGTAGTCAGTATGCTAAAATGACTATAATCATCTTCTTTGTATCTGTAAAACCTTTTCTTTCGTATACAACAAAATGTAAATGTCTGTTGACCCCATTGACCTGAAACTTGTGTGAAAAAATTCAGTATTTTCTTTGTACTTCTGTGACAATCTAATTGAATACCTAACTGTGATAATATGAACTAAGATCACTAATCTACCACTTTTCCTTTCTAATGTTTTTACGTATAAAGTATTTTTATTTCAAATAAATGTTTTGTTATATAAATATGAAAGTGTTCTGATTCTTCGAGTAACTTTTTTAAAATTGGTTTTGCGTAAAATGTAAAAAGATAATTAATTCAAAGTAAAATTTTCATTGGTAGTTACTACTCCTGCTAATTCAAGTCAAGAGCGAAAAGAGAACCTTTACAAGAAAAACATAATTTATTCGACTCTGAGAGAAACGTTCCATCCAGCTATTGAAAGTTTAGAAGTCTGAAGTTTTTACAGAAGATATTGTTGTTAATATCACTTTTCAATAAATTTACTATTTCGTAGACTTTTTATTTATCTTCTGCCAACAAACCATAATTATGTTTAGAAATTCGCCTTTAATTTTTTTTATTTCGAAAAATAATTTGAATATATCGAGTTAGTTCTTATGTAACCTATCTGCTTTTTGCCTATTTAGTTCTTGTATAACCTTCATGCTTTTATAGACTGTAGTGTGAAATGTATCATACCATAATAAACCTTGAAATTGACAAATCATACATCGTGATTAGCTAAAACTGCAAGATTTAATTGTGAATTTTTCTTTTTCTTACTTGTATCTGTAACTGAAATAGTAAAGAATGTTACAAAATTACACAGTTGTACTATGTTTGATTAGATAGACAATAAATTTCAAATTTAACCACAAATACACATATCGATACTAAAAGTAAACACATATTTCAAATATAACACCAGTTAAAAAATTATAGTACTTTTTCGACCAAAACACTTCAATGGGACTCTGGAAGGCTCCGTTTCTCAAGACCGGTGTTTATGCCAAAAGATAAGTTTTCTGCAGTAAGTAAATGTTATTTCTTTTTTGTTGTTGTTAGCAAAGCGTAAAACAGACATGCTCGTACGAGTGTAAAAGAAAACTTCTGTACTACTGAACTAGAGATTTTCACTAAACGCAGAACACTTATCTATCCGTGTTCAATCATTCATTTAAACGGGTTATTTATTTCAAAACTGACTAAGATTTTTAATATTGCGGTGCTCTATTAATCTGAGAAGTTCCTTTGGTAGAACACTGGTCAAGTTTTCTGTTGTGGTTACGTAATGCATATACGAAAATATTATTCTTACTTGTTGTTTTCATGTATGCCAATTACAGTAATCCTTATTAGACGTACAATAGCTTAGGTGGTTGCAAAAAGTTGTTCTGATGAAAATAAATTAAACGATATGAATCAGAATAAAAACAGTAACTTAAAGATGAATGCAGCCAACTCTATATAACATAGTGACTAGAAATAATTTTAAAGTCAAACTAAAACCCGTGCTGATTATTCAGCTTTCAGTTGGTTATCATCTCTGTTAACGACATTTTCAGTTTTGTAGATCTGTGATTTTTAAGAATTAATAGAAAGATGTTCTGTTTATCTAGCTCAAATTTTATTTGACTGAAATAAACTAAGTTTTATTACCATTTGCGGCTCGGTAGACATTGCAACAACGCCTTTTAATCAGCAGTAGACTTGGCACCTTGTGCAACTGTTCAAATTAATAAAACGATGAATAATTGTTGTTTGAATTACTTTTTCATAAGTTATGATCACGAATACTTTTAACTTATTATAACCAAAAACTTTACACTCGTATTTGTATTCTTGTGGCCTAAAAATCAAATATTAAGGTTTTTCTTCCAGTGCACTAGGACAATTTAATTTTTTTAAAGTTTTTATCCTAACGAATTCCCATATCTTAAATCAGTATTACTTATTTTATATCGTTTAAAGTTATCAAATATTAACGAATATATTGCTATAGAAATCAAAATTGAAAGCAGCCAAAAGTAAAGAATGTTATTAGCAAAGCGTTACCAGAAATAAAACAACAAACTTGAACCGAACTTCTGATAGACATCTAGAATGAAATTGTTTAAAGCCTAAAAGAAACAAGTTAATAGAAGAAAAGTTTAAATAATTTATTTGTTTATATTTTTCCTATATTCTAAATATCATAATCCTGCTTGATATTTTGTTTATTTCTCCCTTACCTGTATTAATTTGGTTAGTTGTGTTTTCAGTGTTTTTGTTTTGATTGTTTGGTGTGTTTGTGTTTTGTGCTTTGTGTATTATATTTTCTTTCTCTGGAGCAACTGTTTATTTTGTTTAGTTTATATATACTTAACTTGTTCATTTGTGTGAACAACGAACCAGCAATTTTAGCAAGCGCAGGGTTACGGGTCAGATGGTCGAGGTACGAGCTGTGATATGCCGCTAAACACACTCAGCACTTTTAGCTTTAAAACTGTGAAAGTCAATCACGTTACTCGGCAAAAGTAGCCTTGTTGGCGGCTGGTGTTACCGGTTGGCTGTTATAGACCTGTTCAGCACTTTTAAATTAGGTCTGGCTGTACCTGGACGTTGACTTCTCCGATCTGGCTCTTTAACCTATGTACCACATAAGGTTGAAACTACACTTGACAAACTGTTCATTCTGAAAAATGCACTATGAATCAACTTCTGACTATGAAGTCTTCTAAAGAACAAGTTATATTTCATTGTTTATCTTAGACAATTTATTTTATTCTTTTTTGATCTCATTTTTTGTTCATGTCCTGATTGGTTATCATATTAGGATAATCAGACAATGAGCAATATGTTCCGTTTGTTAAAAGTAAGTTCTTGTACGGATATATATGGTCTGATTGTTTGTTGGCTTCGGATAATGTAGAAAAGTTACACAAAGGCTGTCTGCACTAGTAGTCCTTAATTTTGAACTGGCAGACTAGAAACAAGGCAGCTAGTCAACAGCACCCATGCAAACTCTTGTTTAAAATAAACAATATAATAATAACTGAGTCTCTTGTCATTTAATGCATTTAACATTCAAAAGTTAATTCATGGTTTGTATTCAGAATTAACAATATTTTCAAGAAATGTAAAGAAATATTAAATCGTGTGTCTTTCCTGGCACTGCGAGAGTTGTTCACCTCTAGCAGTGAAATAATTAATGTATGGTAATACATCTAAAGCTTATAGAAATTATAAATAAAAGCTTTGGCAAACGTATTCATATATACATATACCGGTTTAAAATAATAATTATAATTTTGTTCTGAATTCCTATCTAAACACTAATCACTTTTGCTGTACTAGAAATTTGCATATGGAAGGTACAGCAGAGGAGGGAATGAAGAGCAACTTCGATCCTGAAATTTTGTGGGGTGATTCTAGAAGGTTAGGCCTACATTTTTCAGATGATAGCTGGAATAAATATACTCTTCTTTTAAAGGCGCTGTTTCTGATACTTATTGGAACATTATAATCGTTATGAAAATAATACTTGATAAAACAAAGTAAAACCATGTCAATTCCATTAGAGTAACTTGACCCCTTAGATAATACAACATATGAAACTTGTCTAAATATATGATATTACAACAAAAATATACAAATACAAAATCATTTTATACAATATGTGGGTCTGGCGTGGGTTATTGGCTGGCGTGCCCTGATTGTAAATCCAGGAGTCAATAGTTCGTGTCTTCTTGCCACAATAACGCGTTCTGCACTTTGGGAGCAAGTGGGTGTGTTAAATAGTGACGGTCAAATTTCAATATTCGGTTAGAAAAGAATATCTCAAGTGGTGGCATTATATACTTTTGACTATTTGTTTTCCATCTATTTTAACAGTTCACAAATAGATAGTTCTTGTGTAGCTTTGCGTGAACATTGAAAAACAAAAACAATCAAAACTTAATATGTAAACAATTTTATTTCTCTAATATATTTTAATTCTGTTAAGTGTAAAAGTGATAATTTATGTAATATGTATATGTAACTAGAGGGAAGGCAACAGCACCCACCGCAAAGTCTTGCTAAAAATAAACAAATTAATAAATGAGCCTCTCGTTATTTGATAGATTTAACATTTAAAAGTTAATTGATGGTTTGTATTCCGAATTAACGATATTTTTAGAAATGTAACGAAACATCAAACCGTTCTAAAGGTCCCGGTGTAGCCCTCCTGGCTTGAGTTATGGAGGTGTTGCGCACCTACCGGTAGTAATAAAAGAGTTGGTTTACACCGTTTGTTTTACTTGTATTTCTAAGAACCTCCAAGTGAAAGCAAACTAGCATTACGTATTGAGAATTTGAAATAATCCAAAGCCGTGTTAAATAATTTAACTTTTAATAGCTGAACTGTACCCTGGATTTAGTGTTTAGAAATATGCCGATATTTAATTTAATTTACGCTTTTTGCCAACAAGATTGATTTACATCGTTTTTGTTTTTGACACAAATACGTATATGTCATTTACAATGACAACTATTATGATTAATTATTACAAACCAAGTTTCATAAACAGAAATTTCACTAACTTACAAATAGCCTAAAATCGTCTTCCTAGTTCAGAGTATCCTTGATATTCAGCGAGTTGTACATAAAACTGTCGGAAAACTAGCTAGCTTTGTCAGGCACTGAATTGTTGGACCGCTGAAGTAAGATAATGTTTTCATAAAACCACTAATGTCAGATGAAAAACCAGTAATATTTTTGGAAAGATATTAACGTTTGATGAGAATTCACTGACGTTCGAAATTTATAACTGTTCCTGGTCAAATGTCGTATATCTTCATTTTGATAAGGGTTAGTAAAATCACAGTTTATAGCTTAAAGGGTCATAACAGTTTCCTAGTAGACTTGTCTCTTCCCTGTTCTCTGTTGTGTGGATATATTGCTGATTCTTGTGTTCACGAATATTTTACAATCTTGGAGAATTGGCGGGAATTTCGCCATACGTAACTAACACGGTAAGCTGGACACGCCCTCAAATAAAAAGTTATTCGAAACAAACGTTGATATTAAAATAAATATATAACAAATTCGTTATACGCAACACATATCTGATACTACAAGTCACGCATATTTCTAAATACAATTTCAATCCAACCAACGTTCATATTAAAAATAAATACAATGATAAATTAATTACACTAGAATATGTTAAAACATGTCAACCACACTACATCCAGTTCCGACGAGGCCTTTCGCCTAATGAACAGGACTCATGTTTGTTGATACTTTACGTAAAAGCATACCAGTTCGAACTGATATCGTTAAGGATATATAGTCTTTACTTCTTGCTAGATTTCCTATGCCATTGCATAATATTTACTTGTAGTTTACTGTGAGAAAATTTGACGTCAGCAATTTCAAGAAAAAACAACTAGTATTCAAGTTAAAAAGCTCGTTATGTCATGTAGACATATTTACGTTTCGGTTCGTTTTCTTTCAACTTTATGATAAGAATTCTGTAAAAATGTGGTTAAAGCACTTTTTCGTACTGAAATAGATAAACATGTGTTGATGTCGGTTTCGTTTAATTGCCATATTTTAACATAACAGTAACAGACTGAGTTTGTTTGTAATTAAGCACAAAGCTACACAATGGGCTATCTGTGCTCTGCCCACCACGGGTATCGAAACGCGGATTCTAGCGTTGTAAGTAAGGGGGCCCGACTGCGTTTATACGTGTTTAATTGTTGTCTCCATCTTCAACATTTAGATCTCTCCCATTATTATATACTAGCTGAATTACTCTTCACAGTAAGTCCAAATTACTTGAAATGGGTATTC